CTTGTTGCACCTGGTTGTACCGATACATTCGTTGGGGGTGAATTCGTTGCTCAAAGGAACTAGCAGTTGAAGGAACTTCATGGAGGTTCGAAATTGGACCTCCGTAATCAGAGCTAACTTATATTTACTGTACAATTGCTCTCATATTCCGGCCTGCCATTTCCTCAACTTAAGTAGAAACTTCGTCTTCAGCTACTGAAATCTAGTCTTGGGGGAGTCGTTTGTTGCATTTGTTGTTTGTTTTGCTCCTTTGTTGCAATTATGAGCCTAAGTTTTCGGATCCGTCTCATTCAGATTCATTCTTGTTTTCTTCATTGTTCAATTTTCCAAAATCCGACCTGCCTAACTGCTAATCAAAACTTTTCCGGCAGAAATGGTGACAGCGACCAAATGTTTCGTGCAACGTCACTTTAAACGATCCACGAGCTCTGGCATCAAGCGATCGAAACGACGAGCATCCTCTTTTTCCGTTGAAATGTTTTGAATGCTCTGATACATTAGCCTCATACCATTGTCTTGACTCAGTACGAAAAGGCTGTTTGGTTTTTTGCCGATAAACAGATAAGAATTGAGTTTGAAATTGAGTGCGCGACTGCGAGTCGGACGGAGCTGTGGGAGTGCCAGGGTATCACTCACGGTCGAGACACCTGTTTCGACATGCACTGCGTCGCTTGCGTTCCAGACATCAGTCTAGAAATGTTTCGTTGCGTACTGGGGTATGCGCTCTCTACCGGGGCCAAAAGTCATTTAATGAACACCTGGCCTTGAAACGTCACCTCGTGCGACGACTGTCGCTTCTAATTAGCGTTTGCTTGGCACGCTCTGTTAAACAAGACGTTCGAAACTCGATCGTCTTCTGAACGAAGCGAGACGAAGGGCTCGATTTCATGAATAACGCGAAGTTTCCTTAGAGCAAGCTTTGTTTATCTGGTCATGGCAAGCGAACAAGACTGATAAAAGCCTGAATTTCGAACCACAACGCTGGAATAGTGACACGTGTATGTAAGTAGTCAAAATAGCCTCAAAACAAGAAACTCAAGCCTCGGGCCAATTACCAATCTACGTTGTCACGTGGTATATCAGTCGGCGCTTCAGGAATACTGAGTCAGGGACTTTACATGCAATGCTGAAACGTTGTTTTCCAATGGAAAGTTTTCATAGCACTTGGAGAATCAGTATCCCAGAAGCAATTTGCAGCCATCCGTAAAAGTATTAAAAAATTTTTGGGCGTTGCCGTAACTATTAACACTATACGCCATGAAAGGGGAGCCATAGTTATCACAGATATTTTTCTTCCTTGGATGCCGAACGAAAAAATACAGAAAGTGAATTAAACATGCAAGGTACAGTAATTAGTACATACAGTATTTAAAAACTATGTAAATAGAATATAGAATACGTGACCGATGTGAAAACTGATGCGAGAGATAGACGGGGAGAAGAACTGAAGATGAGTCGATGAACAGATAAAATAACATAAATGGATGGAACATGAAAAAGCATAAATGGATACATGGAGACGAATGAACACTAACGTTAATCGACGAATTGGGGCAGAGAGTCATCGATAAATAAATTGTTGATGGATTGATGGCTGGAATTAAAACGCCAATTTCTTTTTCATATGATTTTCTGATTAGATACGTTTTAGCATAAGCAGATATTGCCTCACTCTCCGGAAGTTAAGAAAGCATAGATAACGAGATACCTCAGCAACCGATATTCAACCTGTTCGAAGCACAGTCTTTGAATTATTCAAGGTAATTCTGGGTACCACGGAAATGAGAATTTTTCTCAAAAACGCTCAAACGCGGTCAACATTACAAGATATTTCCGTGAACTACCGAAGAGCCCAATAAAGATAGATTAAGTAGATGACGGTCAGACGAAAAATCACTGGTTTCTACTAGAGATCATTTACTGAAACGAAACCGGATGTGGTCTATAAGTTACTTTGACAGTTTTCTGCAACACTAGGTCACGTACAGTTAGGCTATTTGAAGGTTGCCTCGGTAGGTCAACGAAACTGCTACCAGTCGACGTGGTAAAACCCATATAAGTTATGATAATAAATCTAAATATTTTACAGTCTTATGCCACCATCTGATGTAGGTGTCCTTTGGATCGTTAACTAGTGATGTGAGTGTAGAACAAGTGATAGTAGAAATAATTTAAAACAGAAAGAACAGAGATCATGATACATGTTAATGCTACAACACAAGGAACTACAAATTTATTGGCTAGGCGGCCGAATGATCCCGACGATGGCTGATAATGAAATCGAGCAATGGAAAGAAAGAACGACGCTCCTATCGTTTGAATGGTCAAGCAATTTAATCCCTGGTGAAACGGAAATCCCTAGATTTGTGTATTGGTGGAATCGTTTCTTGGAACAGAGACTGGCTTTGATGTCCAGAATTGCACAGATTAGCATTACTAGTCACTAGATTCTCATTTTATTATTTTTTAAATAATTTCTCTTCATTTTCTTTCACCATTTGGTTTCTCTGTTACTGTTGTTGAGATTTGAACCTACACTAGTCATGACAGCTAATCTATGCAACAAAGAATCAGTCCTGGA